AATTGGATCATCCCAACGCTTTGACTGCCGAGGGGATCGTCTGTAACTACAGCAAGCTAGTATCACTAAACTAATACCGTGCGTTGCCCAGGAAGCTCTGGAAATTTCACGTTGATAGCAAACGGCTCTTCTAACTAACAAAACCAACCTGGAAACAGCGGTTTGCTGTGGGATGTACTTCCGGTCGAGACGCCGATACCGCGAACACGGCACGCCATCAGCAAGCCATCCCAAACAGCAAGTATCAACCACCACCAACTCCTGCTATTTAGTCGTCGTCGTCGTGTCTATCTCCGAAGAGTGGAAGGACCTCGTCGTGTGAGCGTGAACGCACCATGACAAGTTGAGGACAGTAATAACCAGGAAAATGGTGTTGAAAACCTGCATGCCTTCTTACGCGTCGAGCGTCTAGATGGCTTGAGCTCTTAGGTCCGAATCGCGAAGTGATCAAAAGACCTAGTGCAAGATATTGTTTGGCTATTGTAGTTAATCCACCCGTTTTTAACGTGGATGCCTTTTGTTTGACCCTTCGCGAACCTCTTGCCTAAAGTATGCTTTATACATATATATATCATACAATATGATATTGTTTACGATCGGAAGAGCAAGTGACTAATCAAATCTCTCGAAGTGGTAGCGTCCATGATGGTTGGCCTGATCTAACTGAAATGATTGGTCGCTTGTCCTATGGATCGTAAACACACCCAAAAAGAGCAAAGTTCAAACAAATACTCTTTTAAACTCTCAAAGTACATTAAATGTCAAAAAGTCTGCAAACCACAATACATGAAATTTTCATGTATTGTGGTTTGCAGACTTTTTGGCACTTTCGATTGTAATTCGTACGACTTTTCAAGTACTAATTATCAACAAATCGTACTCGAGTACGATTTAGTACAAATCATGCATCATCTTTCCGGCAGCTAGTAGTGTGGTCAAGCATTTAATGCACGACTTAGCACATCGAATACGAATACGGATCAGTTTGGCACTTCCAGACAGTGTCATTTTCTGCTAAACCGTGCTGAAAACACGATTTGAGCAACTCCGATTCAAAGCTTCCATGATTTAACACTAAGTACGAACACAAATTAGTGCACTAATTAGCAGAGCAAACTGAATGCAAAGCACAATACATCACTGAAGAGTTACAAAAACGCTAATGTTCAACAGAAAAATGTAGTTCCTCTACGTGCTACATGTAATCCCAGTATCTGATTGTTTCAAAAAAAAAAAGTAATGATGATGAAAGGATCCATCTATTGGGCATTACTACCCAGACAATCCTGATGGTCCTCCTCCTTATACCATGACTCGTTCTTTTATGTACCCTCTACCTCTTTCTGCTGGCTCGATAGTATCGAGTCGATACGTTGGAGGGTTGCACTTCCAGGATGGCTCGTGGAATCGTTGGTTTAGTCCAGGGTTTACAAATTTTCGCGCATGGCGGGATAACACAGGTTCTGCCGCGACGCAGGCCGGCAACTGGTCACCATAATCTACAAACAAAATACTGCTGAAACGGATAAAACAGGATGCATGTACCTACATGTTTACGATGTAGGTATACATGTACAATCGAAACGAATAAAACAGGATACATGCGATGTAGGTATACAATCGAAACAGTACGTAAACTTAAGCTGTTACACATGATGTACTTCTTCGAGCAATTTCCATAATCCAGTACTAGTGTACTGAATTTTAGGGAGATGGCCATTTTTCAATTCACATTAAGTTCGCTACATATATTATAAATTACGAACTTAACATATTCTCTGGATATTTATAACCAGAGTTCTTAGCAGGATCGCAGATTCACTATTGCATAACTGCAGTGTAGCGTACGAAAACACAAAGAAGAATGTAATGACCCATGCATGCAGATGCTTGACTTAGTGGTCACAACGATCCAGCGGTTTTGTACGAGTTCTTCTAGACTTGAGCCGCATGCTTGCGATATTCTTCCTTTGTGTGTCGT